ACTACTACTTACTACTACTACTACTACTACTACTACTACTACTACTACTACTACTACTACTACTACTACTACTACTACTACTACTACTACTACTACTACTACTACTACTACTACTACTACTACTACTACTACTACTACTACTACTACTACTACTACTACTACTACTACTACTACTACTACTACTACTACTACTACTACTACTACTACTACTACTACTTTTTTTCAGAATGGTTTTCAAATTAGGAATAATTTCAAAAAGCACAACCACATAAATGCTTAACTTTTCAGGTTAACTAAAAACACATTAATAAAAGGTAAAAGATTGCCAAATATAACGAATTTTTTAACCAAACAATCATCTATCAAATATTTCTTTAAATAATAATCGACCGATCGATCGATTGATCCATTTCAACAATTTATTATCAAAAAAAATAAAAAATCAATAGTTCAATTATTCAACATTTTCATTTTTTCTGTTTTTTTTTGATGAAAATTTGAGATATGCAAAAAATTTTTACCATTTCCAATTTTTCCTCACATTTTAAACGAAAATTACATTTCTCCCCAAAATAAATTATTGATTTGTATAGAAGAATTGATTGATTCATAAAATGTAAATGTATTTTGAGATAAAATATGATTCCATATGCTACAATGAAGTAATTTTATGGAAGAAAACGAAAATAAAAGAGGGAAATGAAAAAAATATTTCAGATTTTATTAATTATAGTAATTAGATGTTATATTTAATTATACATGCATTAAATTGATCAATTGATTTTTCTGCAGTATATGTACAAAAAAAAAATTTTGCCAATATTTTTCAGCCATACTTTTTTTTGGTACCATTTGTGAAAAAACTTTTTAAATGAAATATCTTCAAATACGAAAAGAAAAATTTTTAAATAATTTATCGGTTGATTCATTCATTTCCAATGATTCATACAATTTCAACGATTTCTCATAATGTATAAAAACGTTGGATAATTTTATTTACAACATCGACTGTCGTAAATTAAAAAACAAAAAAATTGAAATGCATATTTTTCAACAATAATAAAGTATATTTTTCAATTGTAGTTTATTGTCTTTCTTTTTTAAAAACTATTTTTTAAATGATATTTGTTGATTACTAATTAACAAAATAATTTGATAGTAAATGGATGTAAAAGGTAATGGTTTTTAAAAATCATAACGTGATTATATGGCACTTGTAATAAATGACATATTCACACAAACAAAAAGTTAATTAGTTAATTAGTTGACCCTAAAAGTTCTATTAATTGTTAAACGCTAAGATGTGACGAATGAACAAATTTTAAATTTGTGCTATTTTGAAAAGATAATGTCTTGACTAAGCATTAGAGGACAAACTTTATTGGTTTTCAAAATCAAATAATGTTTACAATTTCAATAGTGGCCAACATGCTAGACGAACTATAAAGGAGGGAGGGAGAAAGGGAAAGAGAGAGAGAGAGAAAAGAGAAGAAACGGAGAAGTTTGATAATGCTTAGTTTGCTTTTCGGCTTTTTCAAACTTCCTCTTACATTAAATGAACTATTATTAGAAACAAACCAACGGGATAGTGTAATATTGAAATCAATGAGCAAATAATTAAATTTTTATTAGTTTGACATAAATTAACATTTTTATCTTATTAATTACTTATCTTTTCTTATCACTTTATATTATTTTAACTATTACTTTTTATTACTTTTATTACTTACTGCAAATATACTGCTTTTTCTTTAATTAATTAGTATTAAATAACATTAAAAAGAATTCACTATAAATTGTTAATATAAACTACACTTATCACAAATACAAGAGAACATCCTTTAAGATTTTCGAAATCATAGACGAGAACAAGGATTGGTAATCATTTCTCAGTATATTACAACTCCTGATTGATAATTCAAGACTTTTTGTTAGAAGAAATGTTAATATCAAAAATCCCAATCAACTTGATGTCAACCGAACTGATTATTAAAACAAAGCATACTCTAGCATGATAAAAGAGTTTGATATCAGATACAATATCGATTTACTACTTGAATGAAATCATAATGTTCTGCATCAACAAAGTTGATTACATCTCGATATTGGGCTAATTAATATCATTCTCATTTTATAAATTATCCTGATTAAAGAGGAAAAAAGGAAAACAAAAAAGCAAAGTCTCAGTGATAAATGACATTTACAAGTAATATATATCAAAATAAGTAAGCAAGCTATAATCGCTAATTATATTCAATAATTTTATTGATTGTCTAAAT